TTTAATCAAAATGAGAAGGTAGATTTTTTATCATTTTTATTGTTCTGATATTTGAGGAAATACAATTATCTCAACATTGATATGTCATATTATATCGATTGATTTATACAATTTCTTTCCAACTAATACATAAGTACTCTTGCAGCCAGCGTAGCCTCGTGGTTAAAGCGTCAATGTTCTATCCACGTTGGGTTGCCGGTAGGTGGGTTCGATTCCCACCACGACCGTAAGAAATGTTTCTGATGGAATAAGAAAGTGTTTGGGACCACACGTTAAAAGGTAAGACCCCCGTCATTCCTTGCTCGCACAAAACTCTTGAAGCCTTCTGAGGGTTGCTCGTAAGGGGGCAACCGAATGATGGATAAGAACAATAGTAATTCTGGAATACGTGAAGAAACACTGGTGTATTCATGTGGAAAAATAAATAGTACACCATTCGATTCAGCTTCTTGTGCACTTTTCAACTATGTCAACTATATCTTGGTAAGTATATGCTACAAACTTTCAGGCGGAGGTGTTCGCAGTTGAATTGTGTGCTAGAGAGTTGACGAATATACCTCTAGTAAACAAAAACATCAGCATTGTATCAGACAGTCAGACTGCTCTTAAAGCACTGAGCTCCAGCAAGATAAATTCCAAGCTTGTATGGAGCTGTATTGAATCCCTAGAATGCCTGGGTCCCAACAACAGAGTTTCTTTGGTGTGGGTGCCTGGACACCAGAGGGGGTGGAGGGCAACGAGAAAGCCGACATCCTTACCAAACAGGGAACCGAATCTGTATTCATAGGACCAGAGCCATACTTTGGGGTCACCACAAGTGCGGCCAAAATAACAATCTCGGACTGGGCGGAGGAAAAGAGACTCACGTACTGGTCTGAATTACCAGGGTTGAACCATTCGAAGGCGTTTCTGCCTAAACCATCGAGAAATATAACCAGGTAGATCCTAGAATGGAGCAGGGGTAACCTGCGAATACTGACAGAACTGCTTACGGGACACTGTCATCTAAGATACCACCTGGGGAGGATGGGTCTGAACAAGGTCTGAACCAACAAACGGACTGTCGATTGTGCTGTGTGAAAGACGAAACGGCAGAACACATATTATGTTCATGCTCTTACTTAGAGAGACTAAGGTTTGATACATTTGGCTTTACCAATTTAGAATCTATCGATTTCAGACAAATCTCACCTTATTCAACCATGAACTTTGTATTGGATTGTTCAGTGAACTGGTACCTCTAGGGGTGAGCCCCAATAGACCCATCTGGGGTCACAGTGGAGGGGCGGTATTCGCCCCACTCACATTGAACCTGAACCTGAACCTTATCCAGACCTGGATTTTACTCGTAACTGATAGGTGAGACGCTTACGTAGAAGAAGGAGGACCTTTGTATCAAATTCAAAGATAAAATACTTGGTGGTTCGTGATAATTTTTGTTATTTCATTGGGAAAACTCAAATCATTCCATTTTTACCTATCCATATATGCATGAAACCTCAAATTCAGAATCAGAAATTCTTAAGTGATATAGCATGCGTGAAAATGGAAAGTACACCATTCGATTCAGCTTTTTGTGCACTTTCCAGTTTTGTAAGTTATGTCCTCACAAAGAATTGCGCAAAATTGTGAAATTATACTATTTATTTCTTGGATATGAAACTTGTGAAACCCTGCAAGTATGGTATATTCAGAACCACCTTTATAAGGTGTACCCATCTTTGAAGTTTTTCCGTGTTCCAATAGGACACCCTGTAGATATTTATTATGTATTTAAATGATTTTTTCACGTGTTCTGTAGCTAGTTTTTGGTTTATTATTCACGGAGAAATCAAAAAAGTTTATTCTAAATTATTATTTCCGAGATTATTTCTGAATTTTCCAAGAGTTTAAACGATTCCAACGGCATATCCACAGGCTCCTATTTTGTGTAAAATAGGCGAAGTATGGTTAAATTGCAAAAGGATTATCCTTTTTTTCCTCATCGATCGATCATACAATAAACAAGTATCGCAAGTATCGCACATATACATTGGAAATTTGACGAAATTAACAATAGGAAAACCAACATTCGCAGAAAATTTAGTAAATAACACATCATATATCAAGGATCGGACGCTTATCAATGACGTGTGACGATAAGAGAAATTCCGAGGTGTAAAAATTGTACTTTAATCAGTGATTAAGCTTTTACGGTAATTTATATAATAGTCCTCAGAATTATCTTCGAAACAACCAAATCTTAGCAGTTAGCAAATCTCAGTATATGGTGTACGGACGATAATCGGAACAATATCGGAACACTATAAATTATAAATTTCATAAAATTTCAGGATTCCTGATGCGCCACAGAAACTTATTATTTGCTTTTATATTGTTGAAAACTAACCATAACAATATAAAAGTTGATTGTAAAATGTTATTGCATTGCTTTGAAGTACTAAGCCGAACTATCTCACTATCGCAAAACATTTTCTCCTCAGAGCTTTGTAGGTACCGTCGTTGATTGATATATTACGCTCAAGCTACGTGTGTACCACCGAGGTACCACCAGAGATCAGTCACCCACTATATCTCTGGTGGTGGGTGACTGATCTCTGGTACCACTAAGAAAGGACGCCGGCAGTGGCGTAGCGAGAGGTGTCGGGGTCCCGGTGCAACGAGGGTTGATGGGGCCCTAATTCACTGAGGAAATTTTCCAACCCTAGAGTAAGTAGGGAATATACACTCACCGGCAAAAAAAACGGCTTCCATAAAATTTCGCCCTGTAACTTTTTTAATTCTTGTCTGATTTTGGTGAAATTTCGACCAAACCTACTATTATAGTCAATTATTGTTTTTGTACTATTATTCTCTTCAAAATACTATACTCATTATTAACAATTTCGTTATTACAATATCTATCACTCTATCACAGATGAAATACAATAATAATATGTTGTAGGTAACGAAAAAAAACTGAAGATATTCAGCTTTTTGCGTCAGTTCAGTGTAGATACATGTGCACTGTTCAGTTTAATTCCAGATTCTGCCCAATCAAAAAACGAAACGTGAAAATCAAAACTTAAAATTTCGTTGTGAACGGCGCTTTATACTGGAGCTTCAATCGATCACCCTGTAGGTGACCCAATAAGCATCTGTTTCGCTGTTTCTTTTGAGCTTCTTTAGGAGTCAACAGCCGCGGCCATTACTCGATCTCTGGGATTTTCCAACATTTCTTCAATCAGTTTTTCGAACTTCTATCGATGCGGGACGGGAGAGCACCTACGTGAGCCAGAGCATACAGTGTAAACACACTGGTCCGCAGTTGAAACGGTCCGAACATATTTACAGTTTATCAATTATTTGAAACAAAAGCTGCGGTTGCATGAAAAAGAGAGCAATATCCGTAAATGAATGTACAAGATCTGTCGTAGATTATTTTAATTTTACTGTCCTCTTGCGGGAAGACAAAACATACCTAATGCTTGACACTTTGACACCATTATTTATAAGCCAATTGAGGCATGTTCTTTTTTACACCACATTTTCATCATGGATGGAAGTGACGTCACTCCCTGATGCATCGAATTGTCGGAGTCATCAGGGTTGAAAGAAACGCAGTTATTTGACATGACTATCACAACTGAATTTTCCTTTATTTATTTTTCTTTTCGTGATTTGATAAGGATTTAGATTGTTTTCAATTAGAAGCTCAGAATTGGCGAAAACTAATGGAAAATGGAAAAAGATGTATTAAAAAAGTGTTATTGGAGTCATTGTCTCCAGATCCAAAAGTTCTAGGCAGTTCTCCTGATAGTTTCCGAGGATGAAATATTGTTTATGTTGGGGAGTAGACGAGATATGCTGTAAATTCTCAACAACCTATACAAAACATTACAATAAATTATGATGATATGGATATTAATAAGAATTCTCTGTTGGTTCCCAAGTTTCCTGAATGTGTGCACTAATTTCTTGAAATTCATGAGGAATAAAAAAATTACCTACCACTAGAAATTTCTTCAATTTCTGTTGTGGCAATAATGCAGCTATTCTTCGGGCTGATTTCGATTAATTCATCCATATTATAGATTATGTTGTCGCTGTCATATCGAAATCCACCAAAATTCGTCCACCATCTCAAATGAACGCGTGATTACGTCAAACTGGAATCCACAAAAGAATATATGAACGCAGTTGGTGGATTGATGGAGCCACCGGTGAATAAGAGAACGTTCCTTTGATATTAATCGAATCTTTGTTTATACGTTCTAAAATTGTTCTAAAATTGTTCTATCCGTCATTCGGTTGCCCCCTTACGAGCAACCCTCAGAAGTCTTCGAAAGTCTTGTGCGAGCAAGGAATGACGGGGGCCTTACCTTTTAACGTGTGATCCCAAACACTTTCTTAGGCCATCAGAAAAAGTCTGCGTTCGTGGGACTCGAACCCACGATCGTTACCTCGACGTGAATCGATATTGAAGCATCGAAGCACTGAGGTACGCCGTCCATGAATCGAACATAATATATCAACAATATCAAAGATGGACTTGTATACATCTAGATTTATTTTTGTGAAAATTGAGATGATTTTGTCTCAAAAAATACCCAGTCAGCAAGATTATATGGAAACACACAAAGTATAGTTCATGCAAAGTCAGTTGAAAAAACACATCGGTAGCTTTGGAAGTTCAAAGAGTGCGGCAGCGCAGCCCGACATTCGTTTGATGATCTGTTCAACTGACTTTGCATAAACTATGCCTAAAGAGATCCACAAGGGGAATAGAAAACAGTTTTCAGAATGTTTTTTGCTATAGTTCACATGGAGTAGACGTGTGTAGTGAGCTCCTATAGTAAATTCACTTAAAAGTGTTAAATACCATGTTCAGAAAGTGGAAAGTGATATAAAGTACGAATATTGCATGAATATTGTGAATCTATACAAATCCATTGCCTAGCAACGTTTGATCCAGCAGAATTACTTAAAAAATTGTGGAATAATATAATATATACAATACAATGCCGTTAACAAGGGAACAAACTGATGAGTTAAAAACCATAGTGAACGTGACGATAAAACAATTGTGGATGGATCAAGACTTCTTAAAAACTATCGCTGATAAAGTTTCAGCAGAAATCACAAAAAACTTCAATGATAAGCTGAAACAATATGATAAGCATCTAAGCGAACTAACCAGGGAGATCAACGTGCAGAAAAATGAAAATAAAAAGAAGTCGGACGAAATGGGTGCGAAACTTGAACATCTACAGGGTGAAAACCTAAACCTTCTAAAGAAAATTGATTTTATTGAACAAGAATCAAAAAAGTGTAATTTACGAATATATAGCCTTGCAGAAGGTGATAATGAGAATACCAAGGAAGTCATAATGGCCTTCTTGAACACAAAGATGAATACAAATATCATGCCAACCGATATCGAAACATGTCACAGAATTGGAAAAAGGACAAATGGAAAAACAAGGGGCGTATTTCTGAAATTGAAAGATTGGCACGCTAAAAACACAATATTTCGTAATAAGAAGTTGCTCAAGGGTACTAATGTTGTGATTAAAGAAGATCTAACGCTGATAAGACTCAAACTTATGGATGAAGCAATTGGAAAACTGGATTTGAAAAGTGTATGGACCGATAACGGCAAAATAATCATTAAAAGGAACAACCAAATTAAAACTATAAATTCCTCGCTTGATCTTGAATAATCTTAAGAAATGAATTCAATACTTTTGAGTAACACTTGTCTGGTATTTAATTTCACATAAGCATTATTACATTATTATAGAATTTGCTATTCGTAGCTTTGCACATTTATTTTCATATTTCCGTTCTTAGAATTGTTTTTTTTTTCTTTGTATATTTAATACATATATACATTCAGTTATTATTAATTATCTTACATCGATATAATTAGTATAAAATTAAGATTCCTTAATGATGGAGTTGATTGATTTATTGGATCAACAACATGGAATTGAAACAAAAGTATACAGACATTTTGATGAATGTCTGAGTAGAGATATAGATAATGAGCTAATTATCATAACTTTCAATATAAGAAGTATTAGGAAAAATTTTGAAGAATTACTAGTGTATCTGGAGTCAGTGAAAGAAAAAATAAGCGTCATAGTCCTATCTAAGACATGGGGGATCAACAGGGTAAGTGATTTTAATATACCGAACTTCAATTCATTCTACAACAATTCTTGTGGTAATCAAAATGATGGTGTTTTAGTTTATGTCAGAAATTCTATCAATGCCACATCTATTCATCATGTTATGACGGATACAATTTTATTGAGACTCTCTCTGGAAATCAATGAGCTTGAAATAGGACTCACAGCATCATATCGTCCACCTTCGATAAATGCGAACAACTATATAACTGAGTTGAATGAATTCTTTAGTAACTTACAAAAACATCAAATAGAAATATATTTGGGTGATATCAATCTCAATTTAATGGACAAACTTTCACCTGATGTGAACAACTATGTAAATACCTTGAATGCGAATGGATTTGAATCATATATCAACTCTACTACCAGAGACACAGAAAACTCTGCAACAGTTATTGACCATATATTCGTTAGAACTTCCAGACAGATTACTAAATCGGTGATTTTGACACCAATGGTCATTCAAACTAACTTGAGTGATCACTATTCAACTCTTTTGAGTATTAAATTCGTGAATTCCCAAAACCAAATTCAAATGCAAAATAATCAAAAACTAATGAAAAAAACTGATTTCAACAAGGTAAAAAAACTTGTCCACAAAGAAAAATGGGAGGCAATACTGAATTCTCGTGATGTTCAATTTACTTATAACATGTTCATTAACAAAATTCAAAGCTTAGTAAACTCTTGTACGAAAACTATTAAAATTAAAACTTGTAATAGAAAACTCAAGCCCTGGATTACCGACGAACTAATTACTGCAATTAAACATCGAGACAATTTGAAAAGAAGATTGAATAAACATTTTTCAGTTGAATTAAAAGCATCATACACACAATATAGAAATAATCTGAACAATCTACTAAGACAGACGAAGAATGAATATTACAAATTGCAAATCCAAGAAGCCGGAAATAATTACAGGAAAATTTGGGAAATAATAAATTGCGCCTCGAATTCTAAATCTACGAATAAAGATCTGGGTACTATAAAAATAATGAGCAAAGACAACATTGAATTGACAAATAATAAAGAAAAAGCCGACGCTTTCAATGGCTATTTTGTGGATATAGGAAATGAGATGGCATCAAAGATAGAAAAAAATAGCGATAACCCCGCATTGGACAGAATCGTGCCTAAACAGAATGTACTATCTTCGATATTTCTGAAACCCGTTACTAACAATGAAGTGATCACGGAAATTGGAACTTTGAAAAACAACACTTCAGCTGGACCAGATATGGCATATCAGTTAAATTGCTGAAACTTATTCATAGTGACATTACCCAACCTCTGACTCACATTATAAATTTATCATTTGCAAATGGTGTAATCCCAAGTCAATGGAAAGAAACTATAGTTACTCCCATACATAAAGCAGGGGACTATAAAAGTACGAGTAATTACAGACCAATATCTTTGATCAGTAACTTTGCGAAAGTTTTTGAAAAATGTCTCAAAAATAGGCTAGTGAACTTTTTTGATGTACATGATGTACTAACAGATAGACAGTTTGGTTTCAGAAAAAATGTTAGCACAGAAAATGCGGTATTAGATCTTATTCAACAGATAGTGGTTAATTTGGACAAATCAAAAAAATGCATGGCAGTATTTCTTGACTTAGCCAAAGCCTTCGATACTGTTGCGCATGATGTATTATTGCAAAGGCTTAATAGTGTTGGTATACGAGGTCCTGCATTAAATCTTTTACAGTCATATTTGACAGATAGGGTGCAAAGAGTAAAAGTTGATGATACATTGAGTAATCCTGTCAAAGTTACTTGCGGAGTACCACAGGGAACAGTTCTGGGTCCCATACTGTTTCTTGTATGTATTAATCAAATTGCAAATTTGAAAGAATTTCAAGGCCACCTCATATCATATGCAGACGATACAGCTATTGTATTCAGTGCAGATTCTTGGAATGGTCTTCATGAGAAAGCTGAGAAGAGTATGACCTCCATGTATCTATGGCTCAATTACAGTTTGCTCAGTCTAAACTTTCAAAAGAGTAAATTCATCACTTTTAGTTTGAATACATTGGATCAGACAGAAAAAAATATTTTGAAGATACATAAAATCACATGTGACCCACTGAGTTGTGGCTGTCCCATCATCGAAAAAATTTGTAAAATTAAATATTTGGGGATCATCGTAGATCAATTTCTAAGGTGGGATGAGCATGCAGCTTACATAAATAAAAAACTCAGACAACTAATTCATAAATTTTATTTGCTACGTGACATTCTCAACCGGAAAAACTTGCTGTTGATTTATAATTCACTAGCTGAATCCCTCTTGAGGTACTGTATTGTGATTTGGGGGGGACTAAGTAATAATGCACAACGAAATTTGCAAACGACACAAAATAGTCTCTTGAAAATTTGTATGAAAAAAACTAGACTGCATCCAACAGTTTTATTATATGAGGAGGCTAGAACTTTCAATATCAAAAAACTTTTCATTTACCAATCTTTACTATACATGCATTCAATAACAGAACCAAAAGTCAATACTAACAAACACCATCTAACGAGATCTGTGGTCAACAAGTCTATAGACGTACCTCTATTTGCAAAAAGTCATGCACAAAGATTCATTTTTTATTTAGGTCCGAAGTTGTACAACATGCTACCAGTTCAACTGAAAAATACCAAAAGTAAATTCAGATTTAAAAAAGAAATAAAAATACTTATCAGAGCTAATAAAATCAAATTGGAAGTAATGGCATATGATGGTGATAATGGTAGTAGTGGCATTGAGTATGGCAATGATGTTAATGAAATAAAATACTTATTTATACCATTGAAACAGATATTTCGCAGTAATTAATTTAATCACTTCAAATCACTTACCCGTTAGTAATAGTATTAGTAATAGTATTAGTGATTTAATGAACAGTTTTATTTCCGAATAAATCCATAATACTTCTTGTATTGTCATGTATCCAGTTATACATTAAACTTATACGTTGATTGACCACTTATTCTAGTTGGCTCCATAGTAAATAGTAAATATTGAAAGTGATAATGTAAATATTTATGTATATAGATGAGTATTATAATGATATTTTTCACGTCCTTCGATTGCTAGAGAAACACATAATACAAGCATATCAGTGCTTAGATGTTTTCCTATCAGTTGAGGGACACAACAATAATTTTATAATTTATCTTTATTCCCATTATACACTTATACTTATAAGTAATCATATAATATGAAAAATGTGAAACTAGCATCTGAATAAATAAATAAAATAAAAAATAAATAAAATTTTCAAGAGATAACTTGATTTCTGTTAGAGTTCTAAAGATTTGACTTACAAAAATACCCAGGCGGCAAGATTTTATTAAAAAACTTTTCGATGGATAACCATATACAGTCGTTAATCTATGACAGTTACCTCAGTTACCTGTCGTTAATCTATGACAGTGACCTTTTTTAAATTGACTTTCTCCGAGATTGAATGTTTAGTTTGTTCTTCACAAATTCCCAACTCTGGGAAATCAACATTGGGAATCTATTTTTTCCCAGAGGAAATGCTTGCTGTGTGTGCTCTCGACCGTCTATTTTCTCATCTTTTGTTTGAGAAACGGTTGCGGTTATGAACCTCAATGACCAAGAGGGTTTTTTCGTTCACTCTCATTCCAAAGCTTTTATCTGCTTCTCGGAATCGAGCTGGAAAATAAACTGAGCAACAATTGAAATGATAGGCTCACATAGGCTAGCATGAAATAACATTCAGTTAGTTCATTTTTTACTTGTGGGTAACTAAAAATAACGTATGCATAATCTTCATGGCTTTTTTATCCTTCGGAGCATTATACAGGGTGTAATTTAAGTACGTGGCCAAACTTGAAGGGGTGATTCTTTGAGTGATTCTAAGACGAAAAGTTCATATAAACATAGGTCCGGTAATGCTTCGTTTTCAAGATACAGGGTGTCAAAATTTTTAAAAGAAATCGTTTTTTTCGTAAATATCTTAATAACCCTTCGACCGATTTTATTGAAATTAGGCAGTGTTATTCAAGGTCGTAAAGGGCTAATTTAACCCTAACTATATCAAAATTATCATGTCCAGTGGCGTCCCGGAAGGCACTGTAACCAATATTTTTGACAGAAAAAATGTGCGCCACTGATTTTTTTGCAATTTTTGTATTTGTTTCACATCGAGCAACTAAAATTACAAATTTTTTATATCTAGAATTTTTTTCGTATCTTGCTTTGTTTTTGAGAAAAAACATAAAAATCACTTCATTGCACATCCCTGTGACGAGCCGAAGCCAAGAGCCGAAGGCAAGTGCTGCAATTCATACATACATATTTTTTGTTTTTTCATTGCATTAGTTTTGATAGAAAATTCCAAGACTAGAATGGAGTATTAATATAAAAAAATATTAGTAAGACCCCGGTTTTTGATGGTTTAGTAGTTGAAATGTTTTATTGTGTTGTCACAGGGATGTGCAATGAAGTGATTTTTATGTTTTTTCTCAGAAACAAAGCAAGATACGAAAAAAATTCTAGAT